TTTGCTTTTGGTTCTTTGTATGCTGCCTGAGCTCTCGAGAAAAAAGAGCTAAACAATACACAGTCCTTCCAGTAAACGTTTTTCTATTTAAACGCGCCATTTATTGATTGAGACCGTGTATTGCTCTTCCAAGCGTCAGGTATAACGGTTAGCATAGCTGGCCTCCAGCTTGACCTGGTTCGATCTGGCCGACGCAAGTGCTTTGCCTCTTTGACATGTGCCTGGAGGCCCATCGAGAAAACGTAAGACAATACAGTCCTTCCGTGAATCTTTTTTCTATTTAATGCAGGCTCACTTGTTATGAAGAGAACGCGTTTCGTTTCTTCCAAGGTCCATAACGGTTAGCATAGGCTGGCCTCCCAAGAGTTGACCTGGTCTGACTCCCGGCCGACGTTTCGCTTTTGCCTCTTTTATTGCCTGAAACCCATCGAGAAAATGCTAGGGGCATAGCACAGGTCCTTCCTGTAAATCCATTTTCTATTTTAACGCGCTGCATCTTTGTTCGAATAGAAACGCGTGTTCTGTCTTCCGAAGCCGGTCGGTGAATCATATTAGCACTGCTCAAGCAGTTGACCTGGTCTGATCTCCTGACGCAAGTTTCGCTTTTGCCTCTTTGTATGCTGCCTCGAGGCCCATCGAGAAAAATGCTAGCACACACATGTCCTCGGAAAATCCATTTTCATTTTAACCGGCTGCATTTGTATTTGACAGAATGCGTGTTTGTTGCTTCCATAACGGTCGGCATAATCGGTTGCATAGTCACTCCAAGCAGTCTGACCTGGTTGACTCCGGCCGACGTAAGCTTCCTGGCTTTTGCTCTTTGTCATGTGGGCCTGAGGCCCATTCGAGAAATCTAGGTCACACAGTCTTCCGAAAATTCTTTCTATTTTAACGCTGCATTTTGTTTGAATAGAACGCGTTCTGTTTCTTCCGAAGGTCGGTATAACGGTTAGCATTAGCTGCCCCCAGTTGACCTGGTTCGACGTGTTCTGCTTTTGCCTCTTGTATGCTGCCTGAGGCCCATCGAGAAATTAGGCCACACAGTCCTTCCGAATCGTCTTTTCTATTTTAACGCGCTGCATCTTTGTCTGAATAGAACGCGGGTTCTGTCTTCCGAAGCGTCGCGGGTATAACGGTTAGCATAGCTGCCTTCCAAGCAGCTGACCTGGTCTGACTCCCGGCGACGCAAGCTCTGCTTTTGCTCTTTGTAGCTGCCTCCGAGGCCCATCGAAATGCTAGGGCACAATACACAGTCCCTTCCGAAATTCATTTTCTATTTTAACGCGCTGCATTTTGTCTGAATAGAACGCGTGTTTCTGTTTCTTCCAGCGTCGGTGGTATTAACGGTTAGCATAGCTGCCTTCAAGCAGTTGACCTGGTCTCGACTCCTTGCGATGCAAGTTCTGCTTTTGCCTCTTTGATGCTGCCTGAGGCCCATCGGAGAAATGCTAGGCACAATACCAGTCCTTCCGAAATCTATTTCTATTTTAACGCGCTGCATTTTGTTTGAATAGAACGCGTGTTTCGTTTCTTCCGAAGGTCGGTGGTATAACGGTTAGCATAGCTGCCTTCAAGCAGTTGACTCCATTGACGCAAGCTTCGCTTTTGCCTCTTTGTATGCTGCCTCGAGGCCCATCGAGAAAATGCTAGGGCACCAGTCCTTCCGAAAATCTATTTTCTATTTTAACGCGCTGCATTTTGTTTGAATAGAACGCGGTTTCGTTTCTTCCGAGCGTCGGTGGTATAACGGTTAGCATAGCTGCCTTCCAAGCAGTTGACCTGGGTCTGACTCCCGGCGACGCAAGCTTCGCTTTTTGCCTTTGTGTGCCTGAGGCCCATCGAGAAAATGCTAGGCACACAGTCCTTCGAAAATTCCTTTCTATTTTTCGCTGCATTTTGTGAACGCGTTTCTGTTTCTTCCGAAGCGTCGGTAGTAACGTTAGCATAGCTGCCTTCCAAGCAGCTGACCGGTTCGACTCCTGGCGACGCAAGCTTCGCTTTTGCCCTTTGTATGCTCGCCTGAGGCCCATCGAGAAAATGCTAGGCACAATACACAGTCCTTCCGGAAAATCTATTTTTCTATTTTAACGCTGCATTTGTTTGAATAGAACGCGTCTGTTTCTTCCGAAGCGTCGGTGGTATAACGTAGTTAGCATAGCTGCCTTCCAAGCAGCTGACCTGGGTTCGACTCCGGCGACGCAAGCTCTGCTTTGCCTCTTTGTGCTGCCTCCGGAGGCCCATCGAAAATGCTGGCACAATAGCACAGTCCTTCCAAAGTCATTTTCTATTTTAACGCGCTGCATTTTTTTGAATAGAACGCGTGTTTCTGTTTCTTCCGAAGGTCGGTGGTATAACGGTTACATAGCTGCCTTCCAAGCAGTTGACCCGGTTCGACTCGGCTCGACGGCTTCTTTTGCCTCTTTGTATGCTGCCTCCGAGGCCCATCGAGAAAATGCTAGGGCACAATACACAGTCCTTCCGAAATTCATTTTCATTTTTACGCGCTGCATTTTGTTTGAATAGAACGCGTGTTTCCTTCCAGCGTCGGTGGTATAACGGTTAGCATAGCTGCCTTCCAGCTGTTGACCTGGCTCGACTCCTGGCTCGACGCAGCTTCCGCTTTTGCCCTTTGTATGCTGCCTCCGAGGCCCATCTGTTAGAAGCACAATACACAGTCCTTCCGAAAATCTTTTTCATTTTAACGGCTGCATTTTGTTTGAATAGACGCGTGTTCTGTCTTCCAAGCGTCGGTGGTATAACGGTTAGCATAGCTGCCTTCCAAGCATATCTGGCTGACTCCGGCTGACGCAAGCTTCGCTTTTGCCCTCTTGTATGCCCCTGAGGCCATCGAGAAAATGCTAGGGCACAATACAGTCCTTCCGAAATTCCTTTTCATTTTAACGCGCTGCATTTGTTGAATAGAACGCGTGTTTGCTCTTCCGAGGCTCGGTGGTGTAACGGCATAGCTGCCTTCCAAGCTTGACCGGGTTCGATCTGCCGACGCAAGCTCTGCTTTGCCTCTTTGTATGCTGCCTGAGGCCCATCGAGAAATGCTGGGCACAATACAGTCCTCGAAAATTCATTTTCTATTTTACGCGCTGCATTTTGTTTGAATAGAACGCGTGTTTCGTTTCTTCCGAAGCGTCGGTGGTATACACGCATAGCTGCCTTCCAAGAGTTGACCTGGAGCTGACTCCTGGTGACGCAAGCTTGCTTTTGCCCTTTGTAGTTGCCCTGAGGCCCATCGAGAAAATGCTAGGCACAATACAACCTTCGAAAATTCAGTTTTCTATTTTAACGCGCTGCATCTTTTGAATAGAACGCGTTCTCTTTCCAGGCTCGTGGTATAACGCATTAGCATAGCTGCCTTCCGCGTTGACCTGGGTCTGACTCTGGACCGACGCAAGCCTTGCTTTTGCCTCTTTGTATGCGCCCTGAGGTCAGAGAAAATGCTAGGGCACAATACAGTCCTTCCTGAAAATCTATTTTCTATTTTAACGCGCTGCATTTTGTGAATAGAACGGTTCGCTCTTTCCAGCGTCGGTGGTATAACGGTTAGCATAGCTGCCTCGCTTGCCGTTGACCTGGCTGACTCCCGGCCGACGCAAGCTCTGCTTTTGCCCTTGTATGCTGCCCGAGGCCCATCGAGAAAATGCTAGGGCACAATACAGTCCTTCCGAAAATCTTTTCTATTTTAACGCGCTGCATTTTGTTTGATATAGAACGCGTGTTTGCTTCTTCCGAAGCGCGGTCGGTATAACGGTTAGCATAGCTGCCTTCAAGCATTGACCTGGTCTGACTCGGCTGACGCGCTTCGCTTTTGCCTCTTTGTATGCTGCCTGAGGCCCATCGAGAAAATGCTAGCACAATACACAGTCCTTCCGAAAATTCATTTTCATTTTAACGCGCTGCATTTTGTTTGAATAGAACGCGTGTTTCGTTCTTCCGAAGCGTCGGTGGTATAACGGTTAGCATAGCTGCCTTCCAGTTGACCGGTTCGAGGCCGACGGTAAGCTTTGCTTTTGCTCTTTGTTGCTGCCTCGAGGCCTCATCGAGAAAATGCTAGGCACATATAGTCCTTCCAAGACCATTTTCATTTTTAACCGCCAGCATTTTTGAATAGAACGTGTTCGTTTCGTTCTAGGTCGGTATAACGGTAGCATAGCTGCGCTCTCCGAAGCAGTTGACCTGGGTTCGACTCGCCGAGGGCTTCCGCTTTTGCCTCTTGTATGCTGCCTCGAGGCCCATCGAGAAAATGCTAGGCACACCACAGTCCTTCCTGAATTCATTTTCATTTTAACGCGCCGCATTTGTTTGAATAGACGCGTGTTCTGGTTCTTCCAGCGTCGTGGTTAACGGTTAGATAGCTGCCTTCCAAGAAGACCGGTTTGACTCTGCGACGCAAGCCGCTTTTGCCTCTTATGCTGCCTCCGAGGCCCATCGAGAAAAGCAAGAAATACACATGTCCTTCCGGAAAATCTCTTTTCCTTTAACGCGCTGCATTTTGTCGAATAGAACGCGTGTTTCTGTTCTTCCGAAGGCGTCGGTGGTATAACGTTAGCATAGCTGCCTTCCGCCAGTGCTGGTTCACCTGGCCGACGACGCAAGCTCTGAATTTTGCCTTTAGCCGGCCTCCGAGGCCCATCGGAAAATGCAGGACACATGTCATCCTTCCTGAAAATCATTTTCTATTTAACGCGCCACCAGTTTGAATAGAACGCGTGTTCGTTTCTTCCGAGTCGGTGGTATAACGATAGCAGCTGTCCTCCAGCAGTTGACCGTTCACCCTGGCCGACGCAGCTTCGCTTTGCCCTTTGTATGCCTGCCCGAGGCCCATCGGAAAATGCTAGGCACAATATCACAGTCCTTCCGAAAATTCATTTTCTATTTTAACGCTGCATTTTGTGATCAGAACGCGTTTCTGTTCTTCCAGGCGTCGGTATAACGGTTAGCAATAGCTGCCTTCCGCCAGCATTACCGGTCTGACTCCGGCGACGCAGCCTGCTTTGCCCTTTGTATGCCGCTCCGAGGCCCATCGAGAAATGCTAGGCACAATGTTACAGTCCTTCCGAAAATTCATTTTCTATTTAACGCGCCGCATTTGTTTGAGATTGAACGCGTTTCGTTCTTCCAGCGTCGGTGGTATAACGGTTCATAGCTGCCCTTCCGCTGTTAGTGACTGGTCTGGACTCCGGCTGACGCGTTTCGCTTTTGCCCTTTGTATGCGCCCTGAGGCCCATCGAGAAAAGGGCACAATACACAGATCCTGAAAATCTATGTTTATTTTAACGCGCCGCATTTTGTTTGAAGAACGCGTGTTCTGTTCTTCCAGCGTCGGTATACTAGGCATTAGCTAAGCCTGCCAGTTGACCCGGTCTGACTCCGGCCGATGCAAGTTATGGCTTTTGCCCTTTGTATGCTGCCTGAATCGAGAAATGCTAGGCACAATCACAGTCCTTCCTGAAAATTCATTTTTCTATTTTAACGCGCTGCATTGTTTGAATAGAACGTTTCTGGTTTCTTCCAGCGTCGGTATACATAGCTTGCCAAGCAGTTGACTGGTTCGGTCGACGCAAGTTTACATGGCCTCTTTGATGCCGCCCTGAGGCCCATCGAGAAATGCTAGGACTACACAATCCTTCCTGAAAGTCCATTTTCTATTTTGTTCGCTGCATTTTGTGAATAGAACGCGTGTCTTCGTTCTTCCGAAGCGTCGGTGGTATAACGGTTAGCATAGCTGCCTTCCAGCTGTGACCTCCTGACTGGCCGACGCAGTTTGCTTTTGCCTTTGTATGCTTGCCCGAGGCCCATCGAGAAAATGCTAGGGCACAAATACAGTCCTTCGAAAATTCATTTTCTATTTTAACGCGCCTATTTGTTTGAATAGAACGCTGTTCTGCGTTCTTCCAGCGTCGGTGGTATAACGGTTAGCATAGCTGCCTTCCGCGAGTTGACCGGTTCGACTCTCCGACGCAAGCTTTGCTTTGCCCTTTGTATTCTGCCCGGAGGCCCATGGAAATGCTAGGCACATACAGTCCTTCGAAATAATTCATTTTCTATTTAACGCTGCATTTTTTTGAATAGAACGCGTGTTTCGTTTCTTCCAGCGTCGGTATAACGGTTAGCAATGCACCTCCACGATTGACCTGTCTGACTTCCCGGCGACGCAGCTTCTGCTTTTGGCTCCTTTGTATGCTGCCTCGAGGCCCATCGAGAAAATGCTAGGCACAATACAGTCCTTCGAAAATTCATTTTCTATTTTAACGCGTGCATTTTTGAATAGAACGCGTGTTTTGCGTCAGGTCGGTGGTATAACGAGCATTAGCTGCTCAGTGTATTGATCTGGTCTGACTCTGGCGAAAGCTCATTTTTGCCTCTTTGTATGCTGCCTGTAGGCCCACTAGAAAATGCTAGGCACAATAGCACAGTCCTTCCGAAAATTCATTTTCTATTTTAACGCGCTGCATTTTGTGAATAGAACGCTGTTTCTGTCTTCCAAGTGTGGTGGTATAACGGAGCATAGCTGCCTTCCAAGCAGTTGACCTGGGTCTGACTCCCGAGACGCAAGCTTGCTTTGTGCCTCTTGCTGCAACCTCCGAGGCCCATGAGAAAATGCTAGGCACAATACACAGCCTTCCTGAAAATTCATTTTCTATTTTAACGCGCTGCATTTGTCGAATAGGAACGCGTGTTCTGTTTCTTCCGAAGCGCTCGGTGGTATAATCGTTAGCATAGCTGCCTTCCAAGACCTGGTCTACTCCTGGCTGACGCAAGCTTCTGCTTTTGCCTCATGCTGCCTGAGGCCCATCGAGAAATGCTAGGCACAATACACAGTCCTCGAAATTCCATTTTCTATTTTAACGCGCTGCATTTTGTTTGAATAGAACGCGTGTTTCACTTTCCAGCGTCGGTATAACGGTTAGTATAGCTGCCTTCCAAGCAGCTGACCGGTCTGACTCCTGGCGACGGCTTCGCTTTTTGCCTCTTATGACATGCCTGAGGCCCATCGGAGAAAATGCTAGGCACAATAGTACACACCTTCCGAAAATCTTATTTATTTTAACGCGCTGATTTTGTTTGAATGACAGAACTGCTTGTTCTTCGAAGCGTCGGTGGTATAACAGAAGTATAGCTCCTTCCAAGAAGTTGACCTGGTACTCTGGCCGCAAGCTTGCTTTTGCCCTTTGTATGCTCCTGAGGC